ATTGATGTACTTCCCAAAGGCAGAACCATTATAACTTGGGGGCTTATTAGCTGTAGGAGAGGAAAAACAAAAAATGAATCAAGATTCAAGTTAGAGTGAATGGAGGAATGAAGGTACTTCAGAAAGTACTAAGATGTGGACCTGAAATATCAAGAGAAACAGTAGGAGTTCAATTTTGTCATGTGAAGTTTGAAGTACTGGTGAAAGTAAAGTGAAAATGCTGCTGTTTTACTTTTTATTCATTCAGTATATATCGACTGAGGGCCTATTATGTGCCAGATGCTGATCTAGGGACTGGGAAGATTAAGTTGGTTATGATACACATGGTTCCTGTCCTCACAGAGCTTAAAATTTACATGGAAAGACAAATGGATAATAAGGCATTGGGCTCAATCGAGAATTCAGACATCAAAAATATTTGCTTCTTAAAAACCTGGGAGGCGGGGGGACACAAAAAAAGAAAGGCCAGAGCCTGCTCTGGACCAGCCCAAAAGGAGGGCCCTCATTCTACATTAACAGTAAATAACTACAGTATGAAAGTGTCAGAAAATGTGAAAATGATTTCTAAACAAATCATAAAGCTTTAATAAGTTGGCAAAGGAGTGAGAACTAAAGCAATCTTGAACACTTTAACAAGTTGGAAACATGGGAAGGAAAAAATAAGCTATTAATGAGGGAATAAATTTGGTTAAAAACAGGTTTTACTCTTCATGGGCGCCAATTTGGAAAGGTTTCTTTTGCCCTTAGATATATTGAGGACAAATGTGTACATTCTTCCATTCAAAGAGTAAAAACACATCTACTTTCCAATGTGAATTCAGGAAAGGATTTAGGAACATGAATACCCATATGGACCCTATGCAAACAGTAACAGAGCCATGTGTTATGAAGGGTAACGTGATATGCCATTAATATTTCCAAACTTAAAACAAAATGAAACATAGGGGTTTTCTCACTTGGAAACTTACTGCATTGAGCTTTCATAGATTAAGTCGAAATCCAAGTATAAAGACAAAAAAATTTTCTTTGTATAGGATAAATAGGGCTGTATGCATCAATGAGAAAGGATGCCAATATTACACAGAGTGCCAGTATTAGAATTCAGTGCATTACACTGATGCCAGTTGGTGTTCCTAATGGAAGCTAAAGGCATTCAGATTCCAATGATTATTTAATAAAGTACTCCTGAAGGCAAAACTCAGCTATATTAATCTTCTGGTTTTCAAGAAGCAATCATTCCCTATAGCTACTATTATTCTAACCTACTGGCTTAGTCAAAATTCTAAAACAAACAAAAAAAACCCAGCATCTTGTAGGGTAGATTTCTCCAAGTCTGCTTCTAATTACATTCATTTAGAATCCTGGTGGATTTATTTGGGTGTTTATAATGTGCACAGTAGTTCTAGGGCCTTTCAACAAGGACCACTATTTTTTCTCAGCTACCACAAAGACTTTAAATTTCAGCTCTTTATTAACGGTACTAACTAGGAAGAAAGGAGGCATGTGTAAATGAAATCCGTAAGTACTCCAAATGCTTTCTTTTAAGCATTACCATTGAATTCTTCCCTGTTAGTCATGTCCTAAGAGTTTCCTATTTTTGTCCAGGATATCTTGATTGTCCCATTCATCCAGGTTTCAAAGTTTACAAGTATCTTGATATGTTATTATTGAATCTCAAGAAAAACACTTTATGCTAAGTAGAATTATCAATTTTGACTATTGTGATTTAATGGGCATGGCTCCATCTATTTGATGACAAGAGTAAAGCCAGGGTGTGTGGGAGATGAACAAGGGGGTTAGGGAGAGATACATGCATGGTCTGAGTAGCTTGGGTCTTCTAATCAATTGCCTTGGTTAATATCCTAGCTTCATCAGACCATCTGTTCCTCTCCTTCTCCCTGTATTATCTCTTTGTGCTATCAAACCATGGCAACATCTGTCAATTACAATCAGTATCAGATAAATTCCTTTATGAAGGGTAAGGCCAAATGGAACTGAACGAAAAATTTGAGGACAGGGGAAGAAATCATATCCAAAGCATGCTCTATGGATTTGTGGGTTAGTTAACTCCATGAATTTATCAAGCAAGTTAAGTAACTATTAAAATCAGCTTCATTTTGCTACAAGAGCTCCACATTTCCTTGCTTCCTTTTTTTGTTTCCCCTTCTGTCTTTAAATTAGAAACTCAAGAAACTGAAAAGGAGTAAGAAAGCAATCCGTAAATGTTAACCTTCTCAGCATGGTACCCTGGATCAATCCAGTAAAAGCTGGAATTACCACATGAAAGCCTATTTTGTCAAGAGTCCATTTTCCAAACAAAGTAAGTTAATGGACTTAGTGGTGGGTGATAAAGGAACATTTTAGTTTCTTTGAAACATCTCAAGCTTATTTTTCAAGAAATTTGGTTTTGGCACTATCTTCTACATGGGTTTTTCCAATAATTTCTTCCTTCAGAACTATGAACATGTGAAGGAAAATCTAATTTTTTTCTTAGTCTAAATTTCCTAATGAAAGTCATATGAAAGGTACTCTTGAGAACTTAGGAACATTTTTAAAGGTCTTTTTTTGGTTCAATTTAGACAAATAAAAATAAAACACTACACAAGAGATTATGTCCAAAAGTATATAAAAAGTATATGAAAAGTAATAGTGGATATTAAGACTCTAGTAAGATGCTGCTATGCTAGAACAGCGAAAATGCAAAATGCTGACAACATGAAATGCTGGTGAGGACATAGAACAATCCGAATTGTCCTATTGCTTACAGGAGTATAAATGGAAAAGTTAGGCGAAAAAAAAAGTTAAACATACATTTCCCCTGTGACCTAGCAATTCCACTTCTAAATATTTATATGAGAGAAATTAAAACATAGGTCTACAAAGTCTTAAAGAAAAACATTTATAAAATCTCAATTCATAATAACCCAAAACAAGACATAAGTAAGTACCCACCAATAAAAGACTAGATAATAAATTCTGGAATATTCATGTAACAGAATACCACTCAGAAGTGAAAAAAGAATGAGAGGTGCCTGGGTGGCTCAGTGAGTTAAGCATCAGACTTCAGCTCAGGTCATGATCTCGAGGCTCGTAAGTTTGAGCCCCACTTTGTGCTCTCTGCTCTGTCCCCCTCTTTCTCTGTCCCTCCCCACTCTTACTCTCTCTCAAAACTAAACAATAAAAAAAAAAAGGAATGAACTATAACACACACAATGTCATGAAAGAATCGCAAAAACATGCTGAATGAAAACAAAGGGACACATAACATGCTGTATGATTTCATTTATGTACAATTATAGATTAGGCAAAACTTATCTACAGTGATGGAAATCAAATCAGTGGTTGTTTCTTGAGAAAGGTACTATCTGGGGGAATGAAAAGGTTCTATTTCTTGATGGGGCATAGAATACATGATTATGTGCATTTTTCATATCTGATCAAATAGTGCATTATATTGGATTTAAATTATACCTCAATAACACATTTTTTATTTAAAAAGGAAATGAGGGCATCTGGGTGGCTCAGTCAGTTGAGGGTCTGCCTTCAGCTCAGGTCATGATCTCATGGTTCATGACTTTAAGCCCTGCATCAAGCTCTGTGCTAACAACTCAAAGCCTGGAGCCTGCTTCAGATTTTGTGTCTCCCTCGCTCTCCACCCCTCCCCCCCACTCACATTTTAACTCTCTCTCAAAAAAATAAACACTTCTTAAAAATTTAAAAAAATAAAAGTGGGATGAAACTTTTAAAATTTAAAAATCACTTTGAGTCCATTTAACTTTTTTTAAAAAATTTTTCATAGAATGCCTCAGTTGAAGAGAATTTGGAATCCTTGTCAGATGCAAAGTTTTCAATTAAAAACATTTTTTTAATGTTTATTTTTGAGAGAGAGAGACAGAAATCTGGAGAGGGGCAGAGAGAGAGGGAGTTACAGAATCCAAGGCAGGCTCCAGGCTCTGAGCTGTCAGCACAGAGCCTGATGCAGGGCTTGAGCTCACAAACTGTGAGATCATGACCAGAGCCAAAGCTGGACCCCTAACTAAGTCACCCAGGTGCCCCTGAGGTTTCAAATTTTAAAGGTAATGTAATAAATACTTATGATAAACAACCATTGTCTATCCCAGCTTCAGCATTCAGTACAGACCATACCAAATATAGGTGCTGGATGGATGAATGGCAATCATTTGAAAATACATTAGATATTTCTTATTTTGTCCAGTGCAGGAAGATAGGAGCTTCATTTCCAAACCTGTGCTTTTTCCTGTGTTTACATCTCTCCCTGTGTCTATGTCTCTAGTTTTCTCCAGCAGTGATTCTCAAACTTAAGTGGGCATCAGAATTTTCCAGAGGCTTGTTAGAACACAGATTACTGAGCCCCACCTTCAGAGTTTCTGAACATGAGAAGTGAATCCAACTGATTTTGGTGCTACTTGGTTTGGGGCAACACTTTGAAAACTACTGCTTCTAGTACTTCAACTGTCAAATCAAAGATCCATCCTCTTCCTACCAAAGATCAGTATTTCCAACTTTCAACCATCTTTCCTAACTGCCTTGGGCCTCATCCTCTGAGCTTTTATTACTCTTCTCACGGAAATTCCCCATTGCTATTTGGCTCATTCTCCTTTGTACTTTATTCTTTGGAAAGAAAAAATGCTTGCGTGTGTTTTCTATTCAGGTAGGTAGTAACTTCCTCATGGGGAAGGGCCCTCACTTAGTATTTTCATTCCCCTCACGCTTAGGACAGCCTGTATAGCTAATGGGTGATCTGTATGTGCTAATACCCCTGATATTTATACATTCTTCTAAAGCATGTACAGATACCAGAAAACCAAGAGGTAGGGGGCACCTGGCTGGTTTAGTGGATAGAGCATGTGACTCTTGATCTTGGGGCTGTGAGTTCAAGCCCCATGTTGAGTGTAGAGATTACTTAAAAAAAAACAAAAACAAAAACAAAAACAAGAGCTAATTTACAGGTTAAAAAAATCTTTTGTTAGATGAATTACCTGTCATTGGGACAGTGACTCGGCAATGTCCAGTCATGGTGTGGGTTAATGAGGAAACCCCAGGACAGGAATACAGAACTTGGTGACAGAGTGCCGACCACCAGCTGGAGAGGTTTGCGAGAGCGTGCTTTACCTGCGGAGGTAACATACGGGTAACAGTTTATTTTTATATTGGGGTAAAATGCATAAAAATGACTCAGGAAGATGATGAAGAATGTGAGCCATCCAGTGTCTTTTCATAGAGCACACCAATATTATTAATTTTGTGCCCATGAATTTAAGCATAAACCCAACAAAATATTATTTTGAGATTTATGTGTGTATGCATATATGTGTGTGTGTGTGTGTGTGTGTGTGTGTGTGTGTGTGTGTGTATATGCATATATGGGTAATGTATGGCATGTAAATTATATCCAGTCATACCCAGGTTTTATTTCTTGTGGGTTAGGGATGTATATGAAGGTCTTAGCTATTACCAGTGAAATGAATAATGCAAATGGATTCACTCCATTTCTTTTACAGATACAATAAAAGCATATTTGGTTCCCCATCCCCTACTCAAGACTATGAACTAGTGTGAAAGAATATCAAAGAATAGAAAGCTTAACATCTAGCTTGTAGGTTATATTGTTTTTTCAAGCCAATTTAGAAGCATAAAAATCCCTTGTCATACTATTACAGTAAGCATTTTTTTTTTACAGTTAATGTCTATATAGAAAATGTATGCACTTTTTTTTTTTTTTTTTTTTTACACATTCTTAATAATGCTGGGAGAGTGGAGATAATAAAGGAATCATGGTTCTTCTGATGGGACTAATTGGATTTGGGCAATGCCAAGAGATGGTGACAAACCACTTAAGATCTTCTTCCAGCATATAAGGGGCAGATATTTGCATTTTCAAAAAATATTGGAAACTTCAGGATTAGGGGACAGTGCAAAAGAAGAATGAAGATTCTTTGCCATGGAAACCAACACTGGCTCAATAAAAAAAAGTCTGTAAATAAAATAATACAGTATCTAATAAAATTATGCAGAATATAAAACATTCTATATTTTCATTGGACCCTGTCTTTCATTTCATGAAATGCCTGTTGTATTTGCTATAGGAAGAATTTGTGTTATTTTAATCTAACACAATAGGAACTAATAGGAAGGTACCCTTTGTATGAGCTTAGTGAAAGTTACCTGAACCAAATGCCCTTGACAATTTTGTCAGGCTTGCTGCTTCTATTAGATTTAAGTTCTGTCAGTTGTTACTGTGGTGAAAACCCTTCTTAGCCAAGAATATGTATAACCAAGTAGTGGCAGATTGTTTCCTTGTAACATAGCTGAATTTATTAAAAAGATATTTGAAATAATTGTCAAGGATAGCTGTTATTTTGTTGTAAACATGCATTTATCCTTCTCTATAAAATTTTCCAGTTCCACCTATGATACTACCTAGCATTACTATGATTCCAAGAGTCCAAGTCTGACTGCCTATGAGGGTAGATTAGAACCTGATGAGAGTGAGAGGTTTATGCTGTTTGAAAAAGCCCTGAAGGGATTCTGATATTCCTTTTCTAGCCCCTGATTGGTTCTCCCTAATGTAATACCACTATCTCATTCTACAAATGAAAACTAAGGCCGAGCTAAGTTTCAAGGGTATCCAAGTTCATACCAAGACTAGGGTCAAGACTCAAATTTCTGTCTTCTGAACTGTACCTTTGTTTTGTTGTTGTTTTTTTTTTCTATATCACTGGCATAGCTCACCATGTATGAATATAATGCCATTTAGAGACAAAAGATAAATTTTCCTTTCTCCAAGGGAACCTAAAGCCTACAAGACCAGAAAGTATTTATTTCACTAAGTATCGATCTGATACAAAACTGATCAAAATGTATGTGGTAAATGCAAATATAAAATGAATCAAGGGGCGCCTGGGTGGCGCAGTCGGTTAAGCGTCCGACTTCAGCCAGGTCACGATCTCGCGGTCCGTGAGTTCGAGCCCCGCGTCAGGCTCTGGGCTGATGGCTCAGAGCCTGGAGCCTGTTTCCGATTCTGTGTCTCCCTCTCTCTCTGCCCCTCCCCCGTTCATGCTCTGTCTCTCTCTGTCCCAAAAATAAATAAAAGTTGAAAAAAAAATTTTTTTTAAATGAATCAAAGTTAATACATTAGTCATTATATCATTCTCAAATTCACATTACCAAAAAAAATTACACCCGCTGCCTGAAAGGAAAGGTGGGGTAGTACAGTATATCCTGAACAAAATGAAACAATTTCCTGAGCCCATCATCACAAAGAGAAAAATAATTTCCAGACCAGTGCCATACAAGTCCCCACAAAGTGCTACTGAGTTGTAATCATTCTTTTGACGTCCCTTACACATCTTTGTGTTTTTGTATTAAGAAAGAGTTTGACGAATGTGAGGCCAGAATCCCATGGGTCCTTACTAATACTTCTTGACTCTATTAAATATTTTGAAATAAAGTCTTGAAATGGTGACTATCGTTGCAAGTTATAAGGAGTAACTGAAATTTCCCTGATGCTTTGGGATAATTTAAGGGGCCAGGAAAGGGGGTTTGTGTTTTTCAAAATGCTTGACTATTAACTGCTTCTCTAAAAAAGACATGAAAAACAACCGAAGGAGGGGAGGGGACTGTGGCAACCTATTTCTGGTAACTGGCTTGGCTGATGCGTCCAGAGGACAGGATTCACAACTGCAAAGGGGAGGTTTGCTCAGTGTGTTTAAAGATCTGTATGCTCCCCCCACCTCCATGCCAACCCTTTAGAAAGATCTAACAAAGGAGACCCTTTGTTGTTTGACATTTACTGTACTATAAAAGAGAAACATGATTAGGAAATATGTAAAGAATAATTGACATTAGAAAATGAAAGAGAAAACCAAACCTTTTTCTCACGTATCTACAGTTAGGGAGATTTAATACCAGACAGTAAAAGCATATTCACAGCTTCTACAGCCTCTTACAGCAAGGGTGGCTTATTTGATCTGAGAAGCAATTTTAGTAGTGAAATTGGAAAATGTAAGGTTTTTAATCTTTCTCCAGTCATGTAGAAAAGGCTTCTACTCACTTATTCCACATGGCATTTACTTTCCTGTTTCATGTCTCCCCATCCCTGGGAGTATCTGTGTTGTGTTGCTATTGTTTCATGAAAGCAGTCCTTGCTCTATTTGTTCGACTAAATAGAAGAGGTTTTGAAGGAAGAGATGAGGAGTCAAGTAAAACCCAAGTTCCAACCCATGTAACATGCCTATAAATGAGTTACGCTTTTGAAATGTGAACAGTCTCCTTTAACAAAGGTTAGACATCAGATTTTGCCCTTAAGATCCGGAAAGCACAATAGTGCATGGGTTCACACACTGCCAAGTAGAAACAGGCTAGCAGGAGCTAACTCTATGTGAGCACTTGTTGTGGGCCAGGCCCTGTGCTACGGGCCACACATGCATCAACTCCTTTAACCCTCACAACGGCCCTTGTATGCAGGGGAGAGGAGGTACACACAAGTCCAGTAATTTGCCTAAATTCCTCACGTTTGTATGTAGTGGTGCTGGGAGAAGGTCCCAAGCAGTCTCTACAACCAGACCATAATACTTGCAAGGAGGATTATCTGTTGACACAGGGCCTGCTGCGCTGTATATTCTAATCCATGCTCCTAAGGCTTCTCCAGTGCACTTGGTCTCCATGGGTAGAAATGAGAAGGCATGGCTTAAAGTTAATAAAAGCTTAAAAATGAACAAAATATACCTGAGCATGACTTCTTTTGACTTGGAGGAGGGGCAGGCCGCACAACAATCAGATACTTCGGTTCTGCATCTGGAAATGATAACATTATTTCTTCAGTAAAATTCTCTGAGAAGGAGCAACATTCACGACAGTACATCCATGTCCTGACTCAACGTTCCCCAGAATTAGTCATCATAACCACAGTACCAGTGGATGACAGGACCCAGGAATTCAGAAAGTTAATACTTCCTGAGGTTCAGTCCACTAAGTCTTTTAAATGAATATTAAATCCAGATTTTCAAAACCAAATGGACAGGAGTTGGGGAGAAGTCTTAAAAGAATCTTGCTAGACACAGATTTCATGTCACATTTTCATCAATTCTTTCCTCTGCAAAGAGGTTTTCTTTTAATCTGATCATACCCATTTTGTAACCCTATTCTTCACACTCTTCTGATGCTTCAGAATCAGAGAAGGAAAATCATACTTTCATAAGACACAACAAGGTCTCACATGCTGTGTGATCTGAAACTGCTCACTTCTCTGTTAATATCAATATTCTTTTTTTTAATGTTTCTTTATTTTGAGGGAGAAGGAGGGGGAGGGACAGAGAGAGGAGGAGAGAATCCCAAGCAGGCTCAGTATTGTCAGCGCAGAGCCCAACACAGTGCTTGATCTCATAAACCGTGAGACCATGACCTGAGCCGAAATCAGGAGTTGGACGCTTAACCCACTGAGCCACCCATGTGCCCCCACAATATGAATATTCTTAATGTTCCTTTTTTTTTTTTATCCTACTTGCATAATTTCTCAGCCTGTTATCATACTCAACCCATCCTTTTCATGAGCAATTTTTTTTTTTAACGTTTATTTTTTTGGGACAGAGAGAGACAGAGCATGAACGGGGGAGGGGCAGAGAGAGAGGGAGACACAGAATCAGAAACAGGCTCCAGGCTCTGAGCCATCAGCCCAGAGCCCGACGCGGGGCTCGAACTCCCGGACCGCGAGATCGTGACCTGGCTGAAGTCGGACGCTTAACCGACTGCGCCACCCAGGCGCCCTCATGAGCAATTTTTAAATAGAGTCACCATTTTGTGTTGGTATACTTTCAGTAAAATATGCCAATGGAAAATAAAGAAAATCTTTTAAAAATATTTAGCCTTTAAATAAATGATGTTTAAACAATCAGTATGCACTACATCAGGAACTAATAATTTATCAAATAATTTTTTAAAATTTTTTAATGTTTATTTTATTTTGAGACAAAGAGAACATGAGCAGGGGAAAAGCAGAAAGAAAGAGAGAGAGAGAGAATGTCCCAAGCAGGCTTCATGCTCAGCTCAACCCAGGACTCAATCTCACAAGTGTGAGGTCATGACCGGAGCTGAAATCAAGAGTCAGGCACTTAAGCAACTCAGCCACCCAGGTGCACCCAAAAGCTTTTTTTTTTTTTTTTAATTGATGTTTCCAAGATGGTTGATTTTAATATATACAAATAAGCCAAATGCACATTGGGCATACTAACTAGCATTTCCTAAGCACTTCTACTGGACTGATTGATGAATCTTATCTACAATAGTTCCTCAGTAACTTTGGATCCTGAAATTCATTCTATACCCAATTTCATTTGGATGCTGCAGTCAACAAGAGTTCACTTCTGCTTGCTCAGGCAGACCTCACATCTTCGTTTTGTTTTTATTTTGAGTGCAAACAGCTCCCCTCTCCATGAGTTTGGAACAGAGGTTTCTCTGCCCAAGGTTTTACAGAGCTGACCTTCTTCTCAGATACAGACAATGTGGCAATTCAGCCACTTTTAATGACTTGAGACTTTGTCTTTTACTGGACACTCCATACAACCTTATTTGTTATAACCTGCTACAGTAATTACACTCCATAAAATAAACCAGGTAACCTCTTGAACTGACATCAGAGCTTTGGCTGCTTACTGATAATTACCTCATGACCACAACACAGATAAGGGAATACTCATTATGTTTCAGATCTTGTGTTTGAAAGCCTATCTTGCTTAGAGGAGCTTATACAAGGAACACTTAACCTAAATCAAGGTCCCTAATAAGAATATAATGCATTTCCTGATTTTATTTGGGATATAAAGGAACAAATATTTAAAAAGTACCATATATTCAGTACTTTCTATGTGTAGACTATTTGTTAAGCACTTCACATTTGTGACTTAACTACTCCTCGTGGCAACCCTACTTGATACATACTATCATCACCCCAATTTGTAGATGAAGTTACTGAGGCAGGATCAGCTTTGTGGGCTGCAACATGCACCATCAAGCAGGGCCCCATGTCCAGAGGGGTCTCATGCTTGGTTTCATGCCCTGCTGTCACCATCTTGAAATTCTTAATAGTTAAATCTTTGAATCTGTGTTTTGTGAGGGAAGCCTGAAGGGACGATAAAGCACATGTGTGAGTAGACAGGAACCATATGCAGTTCCTGTGCTTTCTTTCCTTCACATTTAGCGGTTGAGATGCCCTATTAGGTATAGCATTCTGAGGGACCCCTTGTGGTAGGGTCCCCTCCCTAAGGAAAAGAAAAACCTCAAGGCAACCTGGCTACACGCATACGGGACAATATCCCTCACAACCTTGTAACATGAGACCACTTAATCAGACTACACGTTTGTGTGTTACCATATATATGGGAGAAAAAGAAGTAGAAAATATATTTAAAAAAAAAAAACTATGCCATGTGGTGCTTGGGGCTCAGTTCCTTGGGTACGAACCCAAGTGAGCGGTGCTGGCAAGAATAAAGTTGTTTCTTGCAAAGAAAAGCCTAGGTGTTACAACTCTGTGTGAGAATCCTACTACACCCTGAGGCAAGGGGATTCAGCAAGACTCAAAGGTAAAACAAGGTGAATCTATTGCATCTAGGACTGAGGGAGAGGGTGCGGAGGGAGCTGAGAGGCCACACTGTTCAATCAAACCCACACTGGCTTCGCTGCAGAAAGAAGGAAATGGCATTTCAATGCCAATGGCAGAACAATCTTATAGTATCCTTTCTCATTCATGTTAGTTGTACCCTATTTGCCAACCAGTTCCACTGAAAATGATGACCTAGAAGCAAAGGGGAAACCAGAGCAAGGCCCAATTCCCCCCAATGTTCACATTTTCCTCAATCATAATTAAGTCCAGGGCAGGGTTGTGGCAGCATGTCCACGCGCCAAGGAGTCAAGTAAAAAGAGCAGTTAATTTTGTGCACTTCCAGTCCTCTGGTAAGAATGAAGTACGTGTGCATGTATGAACTACCAAGAACAAAGTGTGGCATTTCAGTGACTCTGCTTAGGAGCTAAAGGCCCAAATTTGCATTTAAAATTAGCATTGCACAAGGTAAAGATAACTGGCAAAGTTCATGCTAATGATGTATAGTTTTAATTTACTTAATAGCATTAAATAGCAAATAAAATGATATCACAAGGTGAGAGAAACGAAGAAAGGAAAAATTTTATATTTTAGTATCTTTAATGACATTTTTCTCCTGTTTTTTGAAACAAGGGCCTCCCATTTATGTCGCATTTGGCCTTGCAAATTATACGGCTATCTAAATCTAGTCCTCAAAATGCCCTTTTACTTTTAATGTTCTTTTTTTTTTTTTTTCAACGTTTTTATGTATTTTTGGGACAGAGAGAGACAGAGCATGAACGGGGGAGGGGCACAGAGAGAGGGAGACACAGAATCGGAAACAGGCTCCAGGCTCCGAGCCATCAGCCCAGAGCCCGACGCGGGGCTCGAGCTCGCGGACCGCGAGATCGTGACCTGGCTGAAGTCGGACGCTTAACCGACTGCGCCACCCAGGCGCCCCTTAATGTTCTTTTTTTAATGTTTATTTTTTGAGAGAGAGAGAGACAGAGCCAGAGCATAAGCGGGGAAGGAGCAGAGAGAGAGGGAGAGGGAGACACAGAATCCGAAGCAGGCTCTAGGCGGTTGGCCCAGAGCACGATGAGGGACTTGAACTCACTAGCCATGAGATCATGACCTGAGTCGCAGTTTGACACTTAACTGAGCCACCCAGGCACCCCTACTTTTTTGGGGTTTTTTTGAAGATTAGTTATTTTGAGGGGTGGTCAGGGGGAGGGGCACAAGGAGGGGAGGGGCAGACAGGGAGGGAGAGAGTGACAGCATCCCAAGCAGGCTCCACACTGTCAGTGCAGAGCCCAGTGAGAGGCTCAAACCCAGGAACCATGAGATGGTGACCTGAGCCAAGAAAACAAAGGTAAATCTCTATGTTTCTTAAATTACCCTCACTGTGGTGGAGTCTCAGACCTAGCCTTTCATTTCCCTCCTTGATGCACATTAATTCAATTATGCCTCAGTGGTTTTAAAACAAAGTCCAGAAACATGAGAACAATAACATACATAGAAGCCAAAGATAGTGCCATGATCCAAGACATATGGTTACATGAGCAATTTAAAAGTAATTTTTGTTATGATCAGTCATTTTGCATAAAGCACAGGCTGTTACAGTCAATTACAAATTGGAACAGATGTGGGGAGCTGGGTGCAGTTATGTTGCCTCTCACTGCTCATTAGAAGCTTCCAACATTCATGTATTTCAGCAGACTCTGCACTTGGTTTGGAACACAGAGATGGAAAAATAAAACAACTAGAAAAACCAGAATTTCTATTTCAGTTATGTACTATGAAATTCTTTGTGGGATTGTAGCAGCCTGGAAATATATACACTGTAGCTTGATCAGCAATTCTGGCAACACACGCCAAAATATACTTCATTTAGAAAATGTGTATAATTAAAATGTCAATTTCAGCAAATTTGTGTAGAATGCAGTTACTTGAACCAACTTTCCATTCCTAGTAATTAAGCCTATATCATGTTGTCGACTAATTACATCTAATTTGTTTAATATTTCAAATGCCCTGGAGGTGAAGGATTGGGACAAGCTTACTTTTTAAGACAGTGTACTATTGAAATCCTTTATAAAGTACTAAATTTTTTGATAATGCAAATAATCCTCCCATGATTGCCCTGTTTGATAAATGTCAATTATCACATGTTTATTAGAGGACAAGTATGTTGTAGGACACCACTTCAGAATGAGGTCATAGC